TGGAATGGAGATGTGTGTGAATGTTTGATTTATCCGTGGCTTCGCGAGATGTTGGCTTCGTTCAAGGTATACACAGTATCCTCAAAGCCCCACTAAAAGCATTTGAGAAATCCTGAACAGGGAATCCCAATGCATGGTTTTCAGGTGTGTTTCAACACCGCGCCATGATTTTGTTTAAACACATTTACTTAACTTAACACTCTCCACACATCTCGGGATTGTTCGTCTTGCGTCCGCTTCAACATCATTCAACTCCAGCCATCGCTGTGATGGTGTTTGCTGAAAGGTCAACATCCGCTGCTGGAACGGCTACGTGCACTTCCTGGACCGGCCGTTGATCCCAAGGCACTGACCGGCGTGGCGGCGTGGGTTCGGCACTGATGGGCCGACACAGCTGAGGGTTCGGCTTTGAGAACTAGATGACGAGTGGCCCGAAAGCATTTTTCATCACGTAGGAAGTCAGAGTGCGAGTTATCTGTTAAGTGTGCGGTGTGAAGTGTTACGTAGGTTTCCTGCTAGTAGCTTAAGGGCACGAGCACCTAGTAGCGTCCTGCCAGGATCTAGGTAATCGACATAGGTGTGTAGTTGTGTTATTCATGGAAACCCTCCACCAATGGGTCGTGGTCTATTGTCCTTCCAGGGGGTCAAACGGGGGTCTCCTGGATCCAGGATTCATCAACCGATTCTGACCCAAGTCTTTGGGCAACGGATTCACCCCGACCGCGCCGAACACAGACTCCATGACACGTATTCGCACCGAGTGGAGTTGATTCGGCGATTTCGATGTCCTACGTGATGAAAAATGCTTTCGGGCCCTTTCCTTCTTGTTACTAGTAGTAAGGCCAGGAGCCCCTGGTAGCGTCCTTCCTCCTAGTAGTTTCATCACGTAGGAAGTCTGAGTGCGAGTTATCTGTTAGGTGTGCAGTGTGAAGTGTTAAGTCGAGTGAGTTGAGGTAGTGTGTGGGTCTCTGTGTGTGTATCTATGTCCGTGTGTATATGAGTCCCTGTCCTTGTGTGTGTCCGAGTAAGTTGAGGCAGTGCGTGGGTCTCTGTGTGTGATGTGTGTGTGTGTGAGTCCCTGTCTGTGTGTGTATGTCCATGTCTGCTGCTGGTGAAGGTCTTCTCTGTACATATACTGAACGAATTAGCGCGCAGGCCTCCCAAACCCCCCACCGGCGGCCACGCGGTGACAGCCCAGCTCATCGTCGCGTACCAAAGTTGTACTACCAAGTCGCCAGTTCTCATCTTCCAGCTCCCCAGCTACTCCGCGTACTACAGTTGTACTACAAAGTCGCCAGCGCCCATCTTCCAGCTCCACAGATACTCCGCGTATTCCACTTGTTCTACCCACTCACCAGTTCTCATTTTCCCACTCCCCAGCTACTCTGCGTACTAAAGTTGTACTACCAAGTCGCCAGTTCTCATCTTCCAGCTCCCCAGCATCTCCGCGTACTAAAGTTATACTACGCAATCGCCAGTTCTCAGCTTCCAGCTCCACAGATTGCTCCGCGTACTCAAGTTGTACTAGAAACTCGCCAGTTCTCAGCTTCCAGCTCCACAGCTACTCCGCGTACTAAAGTTGTACTACACAGTCGCCAGTTCTCAGCTTCCAGCTCCACAGATTGCTCCGCGTACTAAAGTTGCACTACAAAGTCACCAGTTCTCAGCTTCCAGCTCCGCAGCTACTCCGCGTACTACAGTTGTACTACAAAGTCGCCAGTGCTCATCTTCCAGCTCCACAGATACTCCGCGTATTCAACTTGTACTACCCACTCACCAGTTCTCATTTTCCCACTCCCCAGCTACTCTGCGTACTAAAGTTGTACTACCAAGTCGCCAGTTCTCATCTTCCAGCTCCCCAGCTACTCCGCGTACTAAAGTTATACTACACAGTCGCCAGTTCTCAGCTTCCAGCTCCACAGATACTCCGCGTATTCAACGTGTACTCTTGTACTACCCACTCACCAGTTCTCTTCCCACTCCCCAGCTACTCCGCGTACTCCAGTTGTACTACCCACTCGCCAGTTCTCATCTTCCCACTCCCCAGCTACTCCGCGTACTACAGTTGTCCTACCACGTCGCCAGTTCTCAGCTTCCAGCTCCCCAGCTACTCCGCGTACTAAAGTTGTACTACAAAGTCCCCAGTTCTCAGCTTCCACCTCCACGGCTTGCTCCGCTGCTAAACGAATCGCGCTCTCGCCTGCATTTCGCGCACTCGGCACGCACGATCTCCGCAGAGGGTTGCGCGGTAATTGCACCAATCGCGCTCTCGCCTGCATTTCGCGCACTCGACACGCGGTAATTTCACGAATCGCGCTCTCGCCTGCATTTCGCGCACTCGACACGCACGATCTCCGCAAAGGGTCGCGCGCACACCGGACGAATTGCGCTCTCACCTGCATTTCGCGCACTCGACACGCACGATCTCCGCAGAGGGTTGCGCGGGCACCCGGCGCGCGGCGCTCTCGCCTGCATTTCGCGCACTCGACACGCACGATCTCCGCAGAGGGTCGCGCGCACACCGGACGAATCGCGCTCTCACCTGCATTTCGCGCACTCGACACGCACGATCTCCGCAGAGGGTTGCGCGCGGACCGGACAAATCGCACTCTCGCCTGCATTTCGCGCACTCGACACGCACGATCTCCGCAGAGGGTTGCACTTTCGGTTGACGCTGTTCGTCCGACCCTCCGCCTTTAAGAGAGAATTTATAAAGTGGGGAAATGTTTTTTCATTAGGACATCTCCCGTGCTAGTTTTCCTCATTAGGACATCTCCCGTGCTAGTTTTCCATACTCACACTTGCCTACTCATTGCATGCTTGCATACTCATTGCATGCTTGCATACCCATCACTTGCATACTTGCACTGCGTGCTTGCATACCCATCACTTGCATACTTACACTGCGTGCTTGCATACCCATCACTTGCATACTTACACTGCATGCTTGCATACCCATCACTTGCATACTTACACTTGCATACTTTGACACTTGCATACTTTGCACTTGGATGCTTTCGCTCTTCCACTTACACTGTGGTGGAAGTGTCAGTGTGTAAGTGTAAGTGTCGAAGTGTCAGTGTATGTAGTGCAACTGTGGTAGAAGTGTCAGTGTGTAAGTGTAAGTGTCGAAGTGTCAGTGTTCAAGGGGTTTTCCGGAAGAACCCTTCGCAATGCTTGCGGGAAAAATAGCATGTGGTGTTCGTGCGATCCAAACGTATTTGGAAAACCAAGCCGAAAAACAAAGGGGCTGGTCAAGCGAGTTCTTTTTTTCTTTTTGCCTAGTTCACGGGGGATGGACCTCCATGTTCATATAAATCTTCTTGGGGAACCTCGTTGAAGGTGTTCTTTTCACAGGGTGGGAATGGGCGGCTGCTCAACAAGAACGAACAAAATGGAACGAACAAATGCTTGAAAAAGGTGGCCGTACTGGGCAAGTTGGGGACACATGGCATTTCTTGTAGAATCGTAGAATTGGACCCAACGTGTTTGGACACTCTTTGAGTCCGTCAGGTGTCTCCATTTCTTTTCAGACGAGTGGGCCACCCGTGGCCCTCACCGGGCCACCCGTGTGATCACGAGGAGGGTTCCACCGTCCGCAGGAGGACATGGGCGGACCCGGTCACGGCTTCTTTCTGTGTCCGAGACCTTCCAAAATCCTCTCGGAGACCATCAAGGTTTTCGGTCGCAACATGGCATGGGGGTAAATGGAGTCTGGGGTAAATGGACGAAACAGTTCCATACATATGGAGTCATGGACTCCAAACCTTGTCGAAACCAGGTGGTGGCTGAACTCCTGTGTCTCCTCTCCTGTGTCTCCTCAGGTGGCGCTGAGTGAAAGCAGCGCCAAAAAAGGAGGGGCGCGGCGCTTGTGGCTGGCGGGTGCGGAGGCAAGTGGGGGTAAGTTGTTTTGAAGACTTCGGTAGAGTCCAAGGATTTCTAAGTATTTACACAAAGGAACAGGGTTTCCTCTCTTCCTTTCAGATGGCCATCCCGTGTGGAACATTCTCGCATCAACTGAAGGGTTTTGTGCCCACCTCCCACTCCAGGACTTATTTCCCAATCATGGCTGTCTATACACCATGACATTGCTCGTTTGAGTTCCCACTCATCTTTTGATGCTCTGTGCTGCTTGGGTTGTTCCGTGGCTCATGGTCGCTCACAACCAGAGCGGGAAAGCCAATCAGTCGGCAGCATCTTCAAGCTTCCTTTGCTAGCCATTGGACCACCCGCACTCTGCCAGCTGCGCAGATGGAGGAAGATCACCCATCGTGCAGACATGTACGAAGTACTGAGTGCCAGAAAGCTGAGGGAGCCTCTGCTCAAGGGCAGTCAAGAGATGGCTGTTCCTTCCCTTTGCAGGTCCCTACATTCGACTTACATAGTATTTGTTGATGTTCAAGGAGTTGGGGCCCATGTCCACGGGCCCATGATATATTCTTGCTTTTCAAAGCAGCATTTCACCTCCCGTTGGTGAAGCACTCTTCCAAAGCCTTCCGGAATTTCCGGCAAACGTTTGGCGAAGTGGCTCGAGCCTAGTCGGTGAAGGCCTTTTCTTGACGTTCGGGTGACGTATATGACATGAGGGAAACAGGACAAGGTGACCGCTGTGCTGTTTCCGGCTCACTTTGCTGTGTCGAGCTGAGTTGATCTTATTAAATACCAAGAACATCCAAGAACTGTGTATTGGAACAGTGTCAAATTGAGACCAACAGTTGCTGGCCGCATGCAGCCTGCCAAGCTGAATTCGAAGCAGCAGCAGGAGTGACACTCCAGAAGAAATTCAGCAACCCATCGATGGAGTGCACCATCGATGGACCGCCAGAAATCAATCAACCAACACGGTCAGCAGATGTGCCCGAGTCCCCGTGTGCTGAAAGCAACACCCCGAGAGATCCCGAGAGCGTGGGTTTCCACTTCTTCACTCAGCCAGTTGTTGCAGTCAACAACTAACCCTACAATTTGGCCTAGATGTAGATGTAGATTGTTTTGTCCTACCATTTTGTTTCAGCTACAAACTCCGTGAGTTCCAATCTCTGAGGGCCTTGAGAGACGGCCGGCCATTGCCGTTCCGCACCGCGCCCCGCCATGGCGGAGACGCAGAAGCCAACAGCACAGGAGCGGAGCGTGGAGGGCCACGTGAGATGGGTCACCACCGGGGTGACCGGTGGGGTGAGATGCCGAGAAGAGGTGGAGATGAGGTGGAGAACTAAGGGGGGTTGCTGTAACTGTTTGAGGCGTTTCTGACTCGCACACCTCCAGAGAGAAACACAGTTCCAACTAGCCCAACCATTGCTTAGTCAGGCAGTTTGGACCAACAAATACGGTAAATGATAGGTTTTTTTGGGATGTGTTCACATTGAAACTGATCTTGAAAGGACCCTCTGAACCCGCGTGCGGTTTTTGGATGGGCTGGCTTCTTTTGGGATCCGAATCCAGGAGCTCAGGGACAAGGACAAGAGAGAACGAGCGACTTGGACCTGGCAGGGCCCGCTTGGCGCGTCGACCGGTCGGGGCGTGGCATAGCGGCATAGCGGTTAAGATCCATATGATGGATCATGATGGATCTATCAATCTCCTGCCGATGACGGGAAACGTTGGAGTCTTCCTGCAAAATTGTAGAAAAAAGGAGAAAACCGGAAGGTACCAGCTATGCTTCAGCTGCATTCCCAAGACTTCCCAAGTAATGTTTTTCTTGGAGGCCATCGCTTTTAGGTTGGAGGCCATTGCTACTAGTAACGCAACTAGTAGCTCCTGGCATTACTATACTGGTAACAAGAAGCTACTAGGAGCAAAGGGCATCGCTACTAGGAACCCGGACATCGCTATGAACGGAGCAAGAAGCTACTAGTGGCTCCTGGCATTACTACTAGTATCTACTAGTAACATGTTTCGAAGTTCTTTTGGCTGCCAAAGGTCGTTTTGTCATTGCTGTACCGGACGCTCGCATCGTTCTTGCTTTGCCGGTAGACGCCTGACGCTGGTCCCACTCAACCGTTGCGCCCACGACAGTACGGACCACATCTTTAAAGATCTCCTGAACAGTCCTGCTAAGAGTGAATCGTGCAGATATGTGTAGATATTATATATATGTATAAATAGTTGTTTTAATATTGTATGTATATTAGAATATTATTTGATATAAAATATATGTATATTGCATATTATTTGTCTTTTGTCCGTTGCATTCTACAGATCTGAGATCTGGACTGAGCTCCATCCGCCCAGGATGAGCTCCATGAACGGATCATGGAGAAGGAGCGCCAGAGCAAGAAGCGCGTGGCCAGCAGCTCCGCTGGCGACACAGAAGGCCGGGCGCACGGATCCAGCCACGGATTGGGCGCGATCTGTGTGACATGGTGACTGGATGAAACACTTGTGAGAACATATAGTGGCACCTGCTTGAGAGGAATCCACCTCATGACTGAGCTCCCGTGACTCCATGCGACTCTGATATTTTGGGAGAAAGCACTAGGATTCATTAGGGGCTCCTGGCCTTACTACTAGGAGCGATCGGACGCTATGAACGGGGCTCCTGGCCTTACTACCGTACCTTTCGTTTGCTTTCGGACTGCATCCCTAGTGGTAGCCCCATGGCCGTCCTCCACCGAGGTCCGGGGCGTTCTTTCGAGTTCAGCAACGAGGAGGAGCGGCGCGAAGCCATCGACCACATCCGGCTGATGGCCCGGCGGAAATACCTGGGTGAGCGTGAGGCGCGGCGGACGCGGACGAACTGGGCCTTCAGCGTGGGAGAGGCGAGAAGAGTCAGAGCAGGTCGCGAGCAGGTCGTCCCAACATTCCCAAAGCGTGACTGGGAATCTATCAACGGTTCATGAACGGTTTTTCTCCACGTGGTTTAGCTGGTCGTTATTTTTGTTCCACCAAACCAGCAGAGAATTTTCTATAGGGATGAGCAGTCGTTGGTCCAATTTTATTGACCATCTGGCCAGATCGTCTCTCAGGACTGACATCCGTCGGTTCTTTCCTCCACTGCGGTGGGTTTTAACCAAGGGAGGAATGGGAGGAATGGGACCAGCAAACCCACTCGGACAGCACCAGCTTCACTCTGAACGGCTTCCAATCACCCTGATGGAGTTCATCGCCTGAAAAAACGACGAACACCAGGGATTTTAGACTCAAACCAGGTCGCAGGATGTCAAAGTGAACTTTTTTCTAAAAGCTCTTTTGGCTTTCGGCCCACCGGGCGGGTCGCAAACCCGGACCGCCATGGCCCAGGTGAAGATCTCCGATCTCCGCGGCAGGTCCGGCGGTGTTCCACCGGGGGTGTCGTCTGGGCTCGTCCGGCGTGGCGTCCGGCGCCATGGTGGCAGCCGTGAGTCGGGATGTGCAGGTTGTTCTTTTGTTTCTACGTTCAATGTGTTTAGATATTCGATGCTCTACTTGGGATGATGGATCCCACTGACGCAACTGGTCTTCAAGCGAGTTGAAACTACCAACAAGACCAGGAGTTTAGGGTCGACCGTTGTGTTTGCAGCTATCAAGGTGACTGTGTGCTCGTGCGATTCTTAGGAAAGTCATCAAGTTGACTCCAGAGCTGAAGAACACCAGCATAGAAGTCACATGTGTAGACCAGTCACCCAAGTACGTTGTGAGGAAGTACACACAAATATACTGTAGATGAGGATCTCGTGGGCTTTGCTAGGCAGCACAGGCACAATAGCTTTCAGTTTTCAATTTCTTGGAACCATCTTTCTGCCAAGTTAGAGCTGCATTCTGCAAAATACAGGAGCGTGTACCTGTTCCTTGACTTGGTTTTGAGATGCGCCTGGGCCACGTGTCCGCGAGGCAAGTCTCAGACGCCGAGTGGCTCATGAAGGGCGAGAAGCTTTCGGAGGCTGAGCAACAGTGCTCCGCCGAGAGTCGTTCGCGCGCGAGAGAAGGCGAAACCGGGGGCGCGGGAGTCGCGGAACGAGATGTGGAAGGGTGAGGACATCAGGACATGTTTGGTGGATGAGGCATGGCCCCCCCCGTAAAAGATCATCACTGAGTCAGTCGAAAAGCTACAGCCGTGTCCAGTGGGATGCTCCAAGCGAAGACCCCCACAGCACAGAGGCGAGAACCGCAGATTATGTGTGGATCGACCCCAGCAACCGATCTTTTTTCTCCATCAATTGTTGGCAAAAAACCTCCCTCCCCATGAGAAAATGCAACATGAACAATCACGATTGAGCTATTCATTCTCTGGGGTGCTTTGCTTTTGGGGTAAGCGTAGCGCGTGCTGATTCGGGATTGTCACTGACTCAAGCCGCCCCTTGCCCCTTGCCATCATTCGTCGTGTCTCCTCGCAAGAAACTATTTGGCAGGAAACAAAACTGAAAGTCTTGGTCAACTGAGTCAACTGTGAAGCTGTTGGACAACAAACCCTATTATTTTGAAATCATTTTTTACATAATATTGGACAGTCCTCTACTTCTACGTTTCATCATATTTTGATCTATTGCACCCAGTCTTGTGAGCACTCAAGGGATTCCATGTGCTGTTTCTGCCTGCATGTGAAGTAGTAAGGTTCCTGAATCGACTGCCATCTTCCTTTAGAACTAGGTGGTTTTCCACTTCCATGTTAATTACTCGGAGACTAAGTCTTTTTCGTTTTGCAAGTCTAGGCTGCAGTCGGTGAGTGCTGCAGAGTCGAGGGGTACATGTAGGGAAGTTGCAGGTCGATGAGTGCAGGTTTTAGTCTCAAACTCCGTGCATGATACCTACCTTTTTCTTCAATGGTTGAACAATGTCGAACAGCAAAACACCCTGATTTGAGGGGGTGTAACACAACTACTGGATGAAACATATGAAACACAACTCTTGTAGCATCCGGTAGCTCATCCGGCAGGTGGTGTGTCGCTGACGTCGGTAGCGCTGGACCCGTGGTTCCCTCCAGGTCGTGACGACCTCGACGCGACGGCGCGAGGTACCTGAAGCTGGAACGAGATCTTTACGATGTCACCAAGCAGAGGATGGAGGAGACACCCAAGCAACCATGGGCCTGGCAGGGGGGGCATGGGGTGAGGTGCACTCGGGCGTCGGATTCGGGTTGTAGGTGCAGAAGATGGAGAGATGGAGCAATTAAAAGATCTAACAACATAGCAATCTAGTAACTGTTCGTTGCATAGGGAGGAAAGATGTCAACATGAAAGATTGACGCGACCCGCAGATGTTTGCGCTTGTTTAATTCCAGCCATGCTGGAGGCTACATCTTTCGGATCCACGGCCAGCTGGCTTTAGAGAACAGACATCCGTGGATTTTCGGGCAAAACGGTAGTGGCATGCAATGGTCTTTTTTGTTCAGACATCTTGATGAATGGGAATCTTTGGTGTGCATGTCCCTCGGTTACGCCAGTCTGTTGGCTTTTATCTGTCAAGAAAGAAATCAAGTTTACACTCTCCGACTCACTTAGGGACTAAACCCCACCCCTTTGTGACTGCTGGATGTTTAATCCTTAAGACTTCTCGTTCCAATTCTCTTTGAGCCACAGACCCCTCAAGGGATGTCTGTATAGGAGACCCCTCACGGGACGTCCCCCAAAGCCGCAGGAGCGAGGTCTTGAACGGCCGGTGGGCTACAACATGCCCGACGTCTACGACGACGATGACCAGAAAGGCCCGGAGAGCGGTCAGTCCAAGCGGTGGAGCGGTGGAGCGGCAGATGAGGGGGCTGAGGATGGGGCAGATGAGGATGGTGATGGCTGTGTCATGAGTCTCTGTTGAAAAGGGTTTTTCTGAATACAACAGGTTGTGGCGTGGCTGGTAGACTGTGTCAGTCTAGCAGTGCGACCGGGCAAGTTGGGAACGCCCTATTTGCAGTGCAGGGGAACAGTACCGTTGGGGTTGAGTATTTGCAAGACCCTCGATGGGTTGAGCTACCCACTTCTTCAACAGCTAAAGTGACCAAAGACTGAAGGCACAGACATTCCTAGCCAAATAGTGCAGGGTAGTCCATGGGGCACCGCTTTTTCTAGTTGTTTTTGGCGTTTTCCATCATTGTCAGTGCCAGGACAGAATAAGCGCTTCGCGGTCCTGGAGCAAAGATACCAGCAGACCTACGATGAGATTCTTGGGTTTCGAGTTCCAGTCTGGTTGGATCGACGCGGTCAGATCAACGACTTCTAGACGAAGCGCAGGGATCGACCCACGGTTCGGTTCACTCTGCCAGCCACAACTTGCCGTATACAAGCATCACCGCATTGGTAGCACGTCAGACACACATTCAAACGCACCTTGCCACCCAAAAGCTCTTCTCTGGCAGGGCCCAGCAGTGCACTGCGCCGCTCTTTTTTTTTCCAAACTCCCGGGAGTCGTTGCCTTTCTTTTGGTCCGATATCCCCGAAGCTTTCTTCAGATCTGCCGGGCCGATGGGCTCAAAACCGCGTACCTGTCAGCTGCGCATTCGGGGCGCTGCCCCTGCATTTGTAGCAGATCTGGGGCACGTGGGGAACTCGTTCGGCCAACGGGTTGAATTCGAACGACCCAGCTGAGGCCAAGTGGATCCCGACAAACAGCTGGTGACTTCATCCAAGAAGCTGCGAACATACTATGATCATCTATGATCTAATCACTTCGTGGGTGTCACGCATCCTTCCGCGACCTTCCCCCTTCACCGAACGGTGGTCTCTCCGAATCCGAATCCAGCCGGTCGTTGGCCCCCGCTCCCCGATCCACCGAGGAAGTGGGAGAAGAACGAGGAGCAACGCTTGGAGGATGCGACCGTCTCCAAGGCCGTGACCAAATACGGCGCCCAGAAAGGCCGGCCGGAGCGACCGGTGGGGTAGTGGTGGGGTTGGGTGCAGGGTGGTCCGTTTTGGTCCGTTTGGGGGAAACATGGTGAAACAACGGAGCGCAGGAAGGAAGAAAGAGAAGGAAGAAGACTGGGTCAGGTGCTTGGCTTGGGTTGGTTTGCCACATTTGGTGGAGAAGTGTATGATGGAGAACCTGCTTCCAAAGGCGGCGTGCAGACAAAGCGCTGGCTTATATATCTTCGGAGACGAAGCGCTTTTCTTCGGGAACTACACTTTGACAGAGTTTTTCATTCTTCTTCGCGTCGCAGCGATCAGGAGCATCTCATGTTGGGGACGTTTGCAACAGGAATCAGACTCAAAGGAGTTGCAAGTGCTAGTATTCCATCATTTTCCATCCAAGTTTCTCGATGTCTGCCAGAAATCTTCAATTCCACAATCGTTTGCTCCGCCTCTAAACTGCAATTTGAAGGGTGATCAGCAATCATGTTCTAAATTTCGCACTAGTTTTTTGTACCTGTATAGCAGTTTTCACCGCTGATAGTGCTTTTCTTTTGTCCTTGACACTGAGAGTTTAGCTGCCAGGGAGAAAAGAAAACAAGGAGAAGACACAGTACGACCTCATTCTCGAGGCTGGGACAGACTGCTCTCAGCTCGGCATTCCCAATAAACATATGCTCGGTGCAAGATGTTTCAGTGCATGCAAGTCATGCCATTTCCGATGCGTGAAACAGATCCGCAAAGAGCTTTCTTTAACGGCCAACCCATGATTCTTCGGGATCCGTGAGTTGGAGCATTTTTGGGACATGCCCACTGTCAGTGGTCGGAGGGGTTGGTACCCAGAACATCTAATGGCCCTTGTTCATTGCTTCAGAGAAACGAGTCAATCACAGGGCAGGCCCCAATGACAGGCAATGTGTACATATGTGTACCCTTTATCTCTATAGTGTGAGAGAACTAAGATCCCCGAAGCCCAGAGATTGTGGCTTATAGTTTGATATGATTTTGTAGATGCTTCTGCATCCAGAAATCCATCATGCTTCTGTCTTTATGACTTATCTTAATTTTATTTGTTAAAACTTCAACATATATTAGCTACTCCTCGCACACAAAGGCATTGATCCCAGGTGGGGACGAGGTCATCCCCCGAATCATCCGATGACACCGAGATGACCGATGACCGACCGAGGACGTGCGACGCGTGGGGTGTTCGCAGACGGGCACCCGGTTCATTCGTTCGCCCGGTTCACGGGATGGTTCGTGCGAGTCCATCCCATGAACTTCCAGTACACGTCGCACGAATCGCCCGAATCAGTCGGGTCCGGAGTTTGGATGTCTCCGTGTTCTGCAGGATGCGGTGGAGTTTGGAGAGGCGGAGGTCGTTGGAGGCAACTTCAAGGCGGTCCCGGGACCGGGAGTTGGGGGGTATTTTGCAGGGACACCAACAGTGATACCCTCCAACCACTGGGTGTTCATTTATGTCGTGTTCTGTATTCCAGACTGCAGGCAGATTTTTGCTTGACTTTTATGATCGATGTATATATTCATTACTTGGGTAATGTCACTAGTCCTGTTGTCTTTGTCCATTGTGTTTAGAACAAGAACCATTCCGCGAAGGTGATGGTCTTGGAGAGAGTCAGGTGAGATGAAAAAAGTCATCACTGCATGGCCAGGCACAGCCCGTGTGACTGATAGGATTGGTTGAAATATTTTGGGGGTACTGACTGTTGTGTCGTTCATAGAGTACCCAGTCACCCGGGAGGGCAGTTCACCGTTCACCCCCTTCGTGGCACGCTTGTGGAGGTCCATGACCACATGGATGTGGCTCCAAAACCATCTGAGACACACCAGGAATCCTGGCGCCCGGGGGAGTCAAAAGCTCTCGTCAGGTGACTAGATAAGATAGATGGGACTGGACGATAGGCCCAGGCCGGTCCATTGAACCCTTTTTCCATCTCAACTGATTGGCAAATAACATCAAATAACTATACCCTAGGGATCCAGTCGTACCTTCTCAGATGGTGATTGGAGACACCGTTATGTAGGCTTGGAGGGTCCAAGTACCTTCTGAGAAGGTACGACTGGATCGCTAGGGATAGTACTCATAGACCATTTCTGGCACATCCGCTGGCGGAGCTCTTCAAAGTCAGCTGAAGAGCAAAGCAACGGTTTTGCAGGCGCCGACGCTGGAGGAGGGTCCCAAGGCGGAGTCCAGTGATGAGGACGAGAAGGAGCAGTAATTCGGAACGAGCGGCGAGCTGGGACACGGAGGGAGCGTTTCGAAGCTGGGGTTGTATCCATCTTCTCCCTTGCTAATTTAACAGCCCAGGGAGCTACAGGGAGCTTTTGCTTAACAAATCGCTTGGAAGAAATCGTGCAGGTTTCAGGGAGACTGAGAGGTGAACCACGCTCACTGAGTGGTCGAAACGAGGCTGCCGAGGCTAGTTGAAAAGGAGGAGAATTCCAATGCTGACCCTTCAAGGAAGCTGGGGCCCCACCTGCTCTTTCGGCTCCTTCGAGGTCGTTCGCACACCTGCTAGGACATGAACGTGCCAAAAGCGATTCGGGACGAGAGGGTCTTCAAGAAGCTGAAGAAGGAGGCGAATGCGGCGAAATTGGCGGTTTCTGAGGAATTCGCGGTTGGGGCACTCCCAAGGTTGCTCGGGCACCACGCACGGGCACCACGCACAACCGTTTTTCATGCTTTTGACAGACAGGACTCCTTCCTCCGGTCACTGATGGTTGAACTGGGTGGCCGATGTTCATGGGTGATGATCTAAGGATGCCATGTGGCAAGTCTTTTTGACTCATATTCCACTTGATATTTGCTGCGCTTTTGGATGTTTGCAAGGGGTTGAACTGTCAACTTCTCCAACCATATAATATTGTCTTTTCTCTTGGAAAGTTAATCATCATCATTGCTTTCCACCAGAGTCAGAAGAAGTTTAGCAGAATGAAAGACGTGGCTAAGACATGAGAAGGTTTTCCAACATGTCCAAACAGCAGCGGTTCCGCTGATTTGATCGAACGAGCCGTTTTCGCACGCGCTTCGTTGCACAGCGAGCGAGCTTAATTCGCCGAAGAAGACGGCACAGGCGGAGCGGCCGCGTAGAATGCCCACGTGGGCTTGCTGCCGTGGGCTTGATAGACATCACGGTTTTGCTGTCCTCTTTAATTGAAGGATAGGATAGGATGATAGGATGATAGGACCAAGAAAACATAGAGAAACTTGCCTGGGATTTGACCCCGGATCCTCATGTTCACTGCCAGAGGATGATGCATGGCCACCCGATCTTTTCCCTTCCTGAAGCTGACTGCTGGCCATTTCCAAAGGGGTACATTACAGAGGTATAGAGTGCCTGCATTTCAGACTGTTTCATGTTGTTTCCTTGGAGACTCAGCTGGTGCAGTCTTACATGTGGGCTTTGTTTAGTCTCAAACCTCAACTGTTTAGTCTTACACTGATAGGTTTTCTTTAGTCTAAACGGTCCAAACGCTCCAACCTTTTGCATTGGTCTAAACGGACACTCCAGGACACTCCATTCCCTTCTTGCGTAACCGGTGCCAGGTATCGGAACCGATGCTTACGGTCCTTCCATTTCGGTTTTTGTTCCTTTGATGGTTTCACTGGGTAGGAAGAGTTGACACTTGCACATTCTTTCACATATTGTACCTTCACTGCCTTTAGTGATTCCAAGCTCGGCAGTGACCAAGAAAAGGCCTAGTGACAAACCATCATTGGCGGAGCCAGGCGGATAACCTGCAGAAAGACCGGAAGTCCCTACCGGTTTATTTGTACAAGGCTGGGGATGCTGTAGTCCCTGTAAGATGCACCAGGGCATACGCAGGCTACGGCTAAGGCATTCCGGGCATGAACATCCATTTGCAACAACACAGTATTGTCAGTCAGTATTCGAGACATATCAGGACTCCATATTCCACAAGTATTTAATGGTGATGGGCAGTGCGTTGTGATCCAATGTTTTTTGTTGCTTCCCTTTCATTTCACGAGCTCATTTCCTCACAAAGTACCACTGCGCTTCTGCAAGCGTTGCAGTGCAGGAGCAGAAGGTCACTTGAGGGACAGTCAGAACGGTTCTATACTTAGTGCATTCTGACGCTGATGTGAACTCAAAACTGCAAGACCAATGATTTCTTTTGGATCGAGGGTAACTCCCCACGTTTGTCGGGGTACTTGGTGAATTGAACGCCAAAGAATGTTGGATCTGGAGACCGGTCTCACTGTTTCCAATAAAGAGAGCACATTCGCCATGAGTCTCTTCTTACCCTTGGATTATTTGGGATCCGTTTTCGTACCGAACCTCAGAAGGTACGACTGGACCCTCCAAACCTACATAAGAGTGTCTCCAATCATCTTCTGAGAAGGTACTTGGATCCCTAGGGCTTGTCATTGTTTTGGGGAATCGTATGACTTTTGGGGAGACACCTTCATTGCTCCCCAAGTGGTATTCTTCCCCTTTCTGCGACTCCTTACCCGGTATATTATGTTCTCTTCCAATGAATTCCCACTAAGTAGAGAACATAATGCTGTATTGGAAGAGAATGAATAATGCAGTATTATACATGTTTTTATGGCCTGGTATAGTATGTATAATATATTCCCACGAAGTGAATCCCGCTCCACGACGTGGGGAGGCGCCACTTCTGGAAGCCGTGCGAGACTACCAGGCGGGCAGAGGCCGATTCCATTGGCGAATTCCAGATGGGCCATGAATAGATAGAGGATGTCAAAACGCATGTTCGATCTAAACGAATTATAGACCTCTAAAGCTTGTCGTCTATCTATTCAAGGCTCCCGAATCCAACAGGCTCCCAAATTCAAAGCTGTGTTTGACATCAAAACGGATTCATTGGAATCCCAGCCTGGGAGGGTTCTCAGAGACTGAGTTCCACCACCCCATGGAAGACCACCGGTGACCTCGCCAGAGAGAAAACGTCGTCTCCATCGTGACATGGTGGATCCATATTTTTCTTCTCCATCCACCCTGCTTAGAGGGGGGAGATCCACCAAGGATGTGCTGATCTCGGGGGCCATCAGCCGATGTCGACGTCGATCTTGTTCGACGCGAATCACCAGGTGTTGATCATCGTGGGCGAAACCGGCTCCGGAAAGACGACCCAGATCCCGCCCCCCGTTTGACTGCGATGGCCTTCGTGCCTCGCGGGGCGAGCTCGGGTGGGAGTCGGACTGTTGAGTGTTGACTGTTCATGAAGAAAACACCTCCCTGCCCAGATTCCTAGATGGTAAAATATGGTAACACATCTCAATATCGGGGTGTTATCAACAGTTAGCATTGTGTGCACCAGTAGATACAATTGCATGGATTGGCAATGCATGTGTGGATGGACGGATGGATCTGGTCGCCGGCGACTGGTGTCGGCAAAAGCTTCAGTACATGCCCATCCAATCTACATCGGGATGAAACAGCTGAGCTGATTCCATGTCTCAGCTGTTTATGCAGTTAGAAAGGATCCCTTTTTGTAAGCACTATGAGGGTCTCTATCCTTTGGAGCTGGGCAAAGTGTTGGCAAAAGTACCTGGCTAAGCCGTTGGTGTCTTAAACTTTCACCAAGAGAAAGGGGCTGTTGAACAACAGAAGAGCTGCATCATGCTCAAGAGACACACGGGTTCTCTCAATGGAGTCGTGGATCATTCTGTGAGCCGCCATTTCACCTAAGGCAGTATTTGCATGAAGTGGGCTACTCCAAGATCGGCAAGATCGGGTCGGCTGGCCCGGCCAGACAATGAAGAAAAACTGCTCCGAAAGCGCTCGGAGAGGGAGACCGGAAAAAGGGTGGTGCAGGTGGCTCCCTCGGACTGGTTAGAGGAACATGGACTGGCATCTCGGCAGATCTTCACTGTGTTGGACATGTTTGGAGGCCCCCCAACCCTACCCTGATTCGGACAGGCCCGAGGTGGAGGCCCTGCCAGAACGGACAGACGACCCTCATGACTTAAAGGCATGAACGACACTGAGGGGTTCAATAACAGGTTCTTTCGATTCTTTTTTAAGTATCTTATGAAACATCATGGTTTCAGAGGCTCGATGGCACATCACTACCCCAAGTTTGGTGTTTTTTTCAGGACTCCCCATCTGTCATCCGACCTCTTTGGGGTGCCAGTGCGATCGAACCTCTGGAACTACTGTACTCATTTCCAAACAAAACTGGGTGTCAATAGGGAGACCTGTGATGAATTGGTGTACTATTCATTTATGAATTATTGTACACTTATGAATAGTACTCCTTACTGTGTCATATTATATAATAGGGAGCCCTCCCAAACGTCCCGACCCCCCTGGAAGGTTTGGGGACATCGACCATACCGCGATCGGGGCGAGAGCGAGAGGGGCGGGGTCTCCCTGGCCGCGACTCGGCCCCCGGAGAACGCACCACGACTCCCTCGCCTCACCTTGGCCAGGTGTACTCAGCCTCGGCGTGTGGCTGCCATGTCCGTCCGAGGGCCTGGCGGCACAGGGTCGAGGGTCTCACCGTTCACTGATGAACGAAAGATTGTTGTAGACCTGACAGGTAGGCCAAAAAAAAGGGTGCCGTTTGGTAGAGGACTTCATTACACGCCTTCCCAGCAATCATTCCATCCTGCGCTTGGAACTGAAAAGCTTCGACATGCTTTTTTGGGGTCATTGGGCCACTGGCTTTGAGCAGACCTGGACCTATAGACAGGGAGAACCAGCAGGATGGGATTCATTCCGCTGAAATGGTCGCTGCAGCGAACGCATAGCCAAAACTGTCGAGTGGTCATCCCATCAACGGCAAATTAATCCAGTGGCTCTGGAATCTACGGCGAACATCAGTCTTCCTGAGTCTTACCGGTATGACACCCACTGAAGGTTTGTTGTCAAAGCCATAAGACCTTGGGTCAACACAAAGCATCCAAAGAAAACGTCTTTCGGCATTAAGTAATAAGACTCTGCAGAGTTTTCCTGTATGTTCAGTGTTCACCAGTGTTCACCTTTTGCCAGAGGCCAGAGCTTTTTTCCTCGCACATGTTTTTGGACCGAGCTCCGCTTCCTTCGCTTAGGTGGCCGCACGCGTGGCGAAAGAGTATGGCCTGGGCCACAGAGAGGATGTGGCGGGGGCTTTATTGCAAGAGCATATAGAACCATTGATCGAGAGTCAATCGATACAAGGACCTAAGGGTTGTCAGGGACCAAAAAAGAACTGACAGGTACTTGCTTGTCACTTAGGTTGACACATTGACTAAGTCCTCCCCCCATCTTCGTCCCCACACGGATCGGGCGTCGGCTTCGCCGCTGCGAGGCTGCAAGGTCGGCCATGAGGTTGGCTACAACATCCGTTTCGAGGACCGGACTCACCCTCACATCGGTTGACGCGTTTGCGCTGTTTTCTTTTTTGTTGTTTTGTTATTATCCGTGTGCACGGCACGTTTTTGAGGGCTGCCTCGATGATTGATGCTTGGGATTCAAAATGATCAGATCCCTGTTCAGCTGGTTTTGAAGGACGTGGCCGAACTGCAGTCACACAAAGAACACTTGTCGCGGTCTACCTTGTTCGCATTCGTTTGTTCCTGCTGCCAGGATTGTACCACAGACCGCACCATCATTGAATACATGACCGATGGAATGCTCCTGCGGAGTTTCTTGCTCCTTGCCTCAATCAGGGTGGCTCCACTGTTGTGGGAGGTGCTGTCATGGACTGACCACGGACTCACGGACTCATGGACTCGTGGGATGTGATGCTACCTAAATATGTACTAAAGCTTAAGGATATCGACATGCGGTGTCCACATGTGGATCTCCATGTTCTCAAAGAGACCAAACACTATGGACCTGTGGCACGAACCTACAGGGTGGGAAGGAGCCGCTCCGGAACGAACCGCTCCGGACTCGTCCCGAGGAACGAGCCTGACATGGCGTCCTATTCGGCGCGGGGGCCCGGCCGCGCGGGGCGGTCGGAGACCGAGTCGGTGGGTCGACGGCGGAGACCGACCGATTTTCCGAAGAAAGGAAGTAGACGACCGGTTGGACCCAGCCAGGGCCAGGGGGTCTTCCTAATAAGATACACACCCCGGTGGAACATCTGGAGGTGCGTAGCAGGGGGTGAGAACCTTGGCCAGAATCCATCCAGAGGGGGCCCCCTCTCAAAGCGCTTCCAGAATGCAAAGAAGCGAGCCAAAGTACTGCAACCCTGAATTCAGAGAGGTTTTGTTTCTCTCGCTTATCTTTGGGCCGATTCTCCTTCAAAGATGCTCACACAATCCATGTGTTTCCGCCCCTTTTCTCTAGATTTCTCGTACTTTTGGCCTGGACGATTTGCTTCTGCTTTGGACATGGAGAATGATCTCGATCGGTCCCATTTTCAGCAATTTTCAATTTGTAATAGTTTTTCTATGTGAATGGCCGGTGATGATTCACTCATCTTTGCACAAATCTTTGAGTCACCGAGTCGCTTCGGGTTTTCTCAGCAACCCGCAGGTCATGATGATCGATGAAGCGCACGTGGCACGTCTCAGTGCTCTCACGAGCCGTTTCGCGAGTCGTTCGGGAGAACGACCTGTGTTCAGGGTGGAAGAGGAGCCATGAGCAGTCGAAATGCTGAAAACACCAGGAAGCACTGACATCCATTTTCCCTGTGTCGATCATCACTGTTGACAGTAGATGAGGTATCTCCAACGTTTCTTTGGCTCAGGATTTCTTCCTTTAACAGTGAGGGGCGTGTCGATCGACATGACGGTGCCACATCACTACAAACCACTCCCACCAGGGGTGAAGCTCGCGGGCGAAGACCAAATCCAGAAAACAGCCGGTTTCGCAGGTTTCAAGCCTTTTTGGACAAGTTTCTGGGGCGGAAGCATGCATGAGCCATCTTTGTAATGTTTAAACAAAAAGAGTTACTACCAGGGCACCCCTCCCTGTTTGGGGTGGTGAATGGACACCCTGAATCACCTCTTTTCGGGGCCATGATTAGATACCCCGAAACCGGGGGGCCGTACAAACTGCATGGGCTCGATGAAGCGATGGTAAGAGGGGGGTTCTGCATGACGCTGAGAGTCATCACACACTGAGGAACGGACGCTCCACACAGACGTGCTCTTCGGATTAGTGAAGGATGTCTGTGACCCAGGTGTTTTGGAGTTGCTGGGCACATGTTTGCTTTGACGGGCGACATGAATCATGAACCACCAAAGAGCCTGTCACTGTGAGGAAGACTGAAGAGAATGGGGCCACCCACACCGGCCCACACCCACCTTCACCACGACGTCCGAGCTGCGACCGAGTTGATTTGGAGGTGTGATGTTTGGGCTCGACCCGTGACGCCGCGACGTCCGGTGCAACAAGGTGGCCCGCTTTCGGCAAGACTTGAAGCTGATCATCTCATCGGCTTGGATCCCAACCTGAGCAGCCATGCAGCTTAGGCAACAGAATTGAGGATCAGAGTGGCCGAGTAGGTGTTGGTTAGGTGTTGGTTTCGACTTGTGAGGCTATGGAGATGTTCTTCCATCAAGAGCTAAGACAGCTAAGACCTGGTGCCAGCAACTCGCACCTGCCATGCAACAGGTACGCCCGAATTGGAACATGTTATATAGATTTACCTAGAACCTGAATGACCTCTATTTTGGACCTCCAACCACTCGAAATATGGTCTTTTCCTATCAAAACAGGTGAAAGGAAGACAGAAACACACAGCCTTGTTTGTTTGGTTGTCTGTTTGTTTGTTTGGTTGTTTGGTTGTCTGTCTGTCTGTCTGTCTGTCTGTCCGTCTGTCCGTCCGTCTGTCCGTCTGTCTGTCTGTCTGTCTGTCTGTCTGTTTGTCGCACCCAAAGGTCATTTGGTTTGTTTGCGTTGGTAGCTGGCTTTTCATGGGGATCCGGGATACGAAGAGCTTCCGCAGCTCCACGGATCAGAGGACATGCCCACCCAGCTTCCCACTGGATCGTATCCAGCAGCAAAGCCGCCGGACCACCTGGCTCACCGCGACAAACCGCGACACCCAGGCCACCTTGGACGCAGAGAAGTTCTCCGAATACTTTGACAATGTTTGGAAGCCCCAGCATTTCTTGTAGCGAGGGCTTCGGAGTCCGACCGATGAATGTGATGCCCTTCAGTCCGACCTACTAGTTGGACTGCTGCACGAGGTAGGGCTTCACCAAGCATCTGCCCAAACCGTTCGAAATATTTGGTTTGCTGCAAAAGCCGAGCACTGCTCCAGAAGCCAGGCTATCCATGGATGGTCATGGAGATAGATGGTTCAAACAAGTTGAGAAAGCTGATTCTGAAGGCGGTTTTCTGAGTAGCGAGAACCAGATGAAACTTCTTGAACACAGAAAAAAAACAACAAGAAAAGGAATGTTTTCCACCTCCAGGTTCCCCCTTTTCTAGTGTTTCTTTCTGCACCTTCAATCCATTTCAGCATGCATAAAACGACCCACCACGCCCAAACGCCCACACCGCACTTGTCCCAGGCACCGATCTTCAACGTCCCGGGCCGCCGATTCCCTGCCCGGAGACCCAGCTCCGAGGACAGACGTGCTCTGTGCTCCGTGCTCCGCGTGGGTCGAAACTGGGAGAGGATCCGTCCGCGTGGTCGTCCGCATGCAGCCGAGTATCATGCAGCAGGACTCGAAAAGGTGCATAATGTGTTTCTTTTTTTCCGGGTGGAAACTGGGAGAGTATCTTGGAGAGTTTGACACGACGTATCACACCAAACTCACTCACCAAACGCTGCATTTTTTTTATCGGCCTCCTTCCGGCCGATGGGACGAATTCCACAGCCTCGTTGTCGTAGGATCCGACCCACCGACTGGACACAAACATGTGACACTCCCTTGCTTCGATCGATCCTTCCATTCACAAGATGAATCCGAAGGACAAACCGCCAAACCGCAACTCCACCGGGTCCCGTGGTCTTCACTCAAGGCGCGGTTGGTCGGCCCAGGTGAGCATCCACTACACCAAGGCGCCTGAGGCCAACTACTTGGACGCCTGCGCCCGGGCGCTTTCAGGTCACGACGTGACGAGTGAAAAAGCCGTCGGGGACGGCTGAAGTGAGTGAGTGGACACACCCCGGAAAGAGTGAGATATGTTGGCTGATACCCCTCCAAAAGATTGTTTGTTCTTATTTTGTGGGATGGTTTTTGTTCAGAAGTGCTGTAGATTGAGCATTTATTGACGAGTTATTGTTTGTTCCCGTAGCTTGCATGTGTTTGTTCATGGCATGCCACATGAGTGTAGGACCTGACGTCGCCTTCGCCTCCTCGGGCCTCTTCGCCTTCTCAAGCACTACACGCATGAGACAGGGGACAAACAATGAAAACACTCGGAGTGTAGGACCTGTGACCGCCCTGTGACCGCCCTGTTCGCCCGACCTCAGGTCATCACGGTGCTTCAGATTCACCTGACTCAAGGGTGCGGGACCCGCGGGTCCGCGGGGTTTTTACCCGGGCGGAACCGGGGACCGGTGACCGAGCCTGATGCATGCCCCTTGCGCAAGCGCAAGAGACCCGTTTCATCAGTCTTTGCGCTTCCAGCTCTTAGCTTCCTTTCCAGATGGCACACGGGTGGCCAAACCCGCCAGGACGTGCCAAAGACTTGTCCCTCTCCGAGCGGACGCCGCAGGCCTGGCGATGTCTTGGTCTTCTTCACGGGCCAACAGGAGATTGAAGAGGCCGTTCTTTCGATTTTCTTGGCTGCGGTGTTTTCTTCGCGGCAGGAAGGAGCAAAGAAGGAGGCAAGTCTCATGATACCAGTGGCCCTGAAAACCATGGATCAGGTTTTCACCCTGTTTTTTGCTACGGAAAACCAGGTCTTCGATGGTTTGTGATGGTTTGCGAGGTGCTGGCAGTTTTTAGATTGACACTGTAGGCACTCGAGTCCAAGGAGGTCAAATCCGCGGAGTTCTTGCAACAAGTGAACGCACATTTCCATGATCGATTTGCAGCGGTGATACACAGTTTTTGTGTGTTGAAGAGCTTCACCCTTTGGTACGTTTAATATACCATCCACAGGCATCCACAGGCTTCATGGGAATCTGCACCAGACCATGAGGAGAGTTCATCATTGACAATCTAATCATATCTATGGCGCTGTGAATCATTCTTTTGCACTACGTAGTCCTTCACTTGCAAGCGCATCCAGTCCTGATAATGATACCTCCAGCTTCAAACTCTCTTTTCAGGTGAACTTCCCAACAAAAACCGCCTTCGCAACAACAGATTGCATGACCTCCCCTACTGCCCTCCCCTCCCACATTGACGGAGGATGGCTTGGGACGCTGCACCTTCCCCGCAGCACCGGGCACCGCGTCTCGTCTCGTCGAGGCCATGGACCTCTTGAGCTTCAAGACGCGAGGCGCGCGGAGCCCGGAGCGGACCCGGTTCACCGCACCGGAGCGGCAGACCACGAAGAGGACGGTGAGTGAGCGGAAAGGTCTCAGTCTGACGCGTGAAGGGCGGAAGAAGTGAAGCGTCTAGAATAGAGGGCGCTCATCGTCTAGATCCTGCATGTTTAGCGATGTCTATGTGGAATCATCGAGCACTGAGCACCATTAAATGATTTTTAATTACATGCATTTACTATAGAACACAACTATAATATTTACTTTGTATGAAATTACTATAAGTACTATATAACTAAATAATATTCTATAACATGCTATATAGCTCGACATCATCTCGATTCCGGTTCCAACGGCCTTTGGCTTGCACTACACGGCTGGCCGCAGCGAACGACTGATGAGGTACTGTAGTTCTATCAGCTGCGGACAGCGAGAAGTTCCCTTAATTAAGATCCGAGTCTTTCACATAAAAAATGGCCTGGAGACAGGGTTGTTGTGGGTTTTGGAGACACTCGAAGACTGCATCCGAGTTCTTCAGTTTTGAAGTCTTTGGGGGTCCACAGATGTGTCTTTCAGTTTCTTCTGCTCGTCGCTCATCCACAAGGGTGAAGAAGGAGTCTTCTGCGCCAGGCATGGGAACCACCATGGGTGAACTTTTGGTGCTGCCCATCTATGCCAACCTGCCCACTGACATGCAGGTCAGATTGCCTTTGTGGGTATAGTGTGCAAAGGGTGTGCACCGGGGCGGAATCAGCTCGAGCGGCATCTCGCAGGTTGGCCATGTGGCACCTTCCTGAAGCCTTGCACAGTCATCCGAAATCGGAGACTTCGTCGGTCGTCGGCCGCAAGAAATGGGTCCAAGGCATATATACAGACTACAAATACCATCAAATACCTACAAACTGCAATTTGATGGACAAACTCCTGCGCGACCCGAGACTTCAACAAGATGGTGAAGGGTATTTCTACAGGTTCTCTATTGAGAGCGCTGGGTTTGGACGATTCGACTACAAAACAACAACGGTTCACTGTCGTTTTAAATGCCTTTGCTCACCAAAGGCACTCAGAAAGAGAACATGAACGCAAGGATGAAGCAAACAAGACTTCAGACCCTTGGGTTTTCAACATTTAATCTCTCATTTCCCAGCGAGGGACACTCCAGCTTCACATCGCATCACATCGCTGCTCACTCTTCAGAAAGAGATCGCGCAGCACCAAGTGAAGCACCAAAATCTAGTGATCGAAAAAGGACAAGTCCTTTCTCTGGCTAACAGGATATATGAACAGGCGATAAAAGGACTTGTCCCGGTCATGTTTTCTCTCTTTCCCAAATGGGCCTCGCGGGTACCCGCGGGTAGACCGACCGCCTCCTCCGGTCTGTGAGGCGAAGATCTTCGAAGCCACTCCACCGGGCGCGCGCGAGGCCCCAGCGGCGACGCCCCAGGCGACGGCGGCAAGTAGAGAACTCCCAGATGTTCAGAGGGGCGGGATGACCATGTCCAACACGAGGCCACAACGGTCAAGAGGTTGCTTGCTCGGTGTTGTGATGTTTGGTTAAATGTATGACAAAGTTCGACATCCTGAGTGAAATCCGAGAAAACTGGGCGTTTGGCAGCTAAGCGTGACCGGTTACAACAGTCCCCAAGGTGTTTTTCTTGGCTGCAACAGCTGCGGCATTCCCAAAGACATGAGAGGATAGTGATCCAGACATATCCAGACACGCTCGGAGAAACGGTCAAAACATGTGCACCTGGTCTTGGGAACAACTGTCAGCCATTACAAGGGCCCATTTCAGTTGGCCACAGTGTGCGTAAAATGTTTGGCCATGTTGGGCATTTAGGTTGGTCATGAACAAGGCCTGCACTGACATCACATACCACAGGACAAGTGTGTATATTAACCAGTGGTGCTTCAGCAGTAGTACAGGGTGACAAGCTCCATTTGCTCAAACTATGACAACTGCATCGGTTGCAGGTGTAAATGGACCAAGAACTGGTTAACGTGATGTTTCACAAACATATAACAACAAGTCTAACACTAGCTACATCATAAGATCCATGTGCCATCTTTCCGATGCTCGTGCCGCACCCTCGGCGCCCTCGCGTCCCGAACATCGCTCAGGCGGAAGGTGGTCTTGGCCACGAACATCGCTCCTTGGTGAAGCGAGACGAGACGTGGACGTGGCGAGAACCGCGGCGTTCGAATCGTGGCGTGAACGGCGGCGGGAGGAGAGACTCGATCCTTTTTTGTTGTCCCAATTTTTTTTGCATTTGAATGCAGAATTTGTTGATTTTTTTAAATTCTTGATTTATATAGAACCTAGAGAATATTATACAGAATACCTTTCTACTGGCAGATGTACCTCTCAGCTAGGATTTACAGCATGTGAACTTCATTCGGGCGTACTCTAGGCCCTCTTGATTCTTGATAAGCGTCCATTGGGCATGAAGGATTTCCTTGTATCTATGAACAGAAGAATTCCGACAAGCAGCTATGCCCCCCGAAGCGTGGTCAACGTTCAGGATTTCTTCAGTTATGTTATGTCTATAGATTGTATACATAAGACATAGATCCCAAGCGCCAGCTTCCTTGAAGAGATATAGATCGACATACATGCATCTGCATATAGTCATCCTGGGAGATTCCAAATATAGAACACAGGAAACTGGTGACGTTCTTTTCTTTTTTTCCATATTCTATTCTACTCCAGGATGGTTGTATATGGTTGTATATCACGATCATACGGGACCCCCGGATTCCCGCGGATCCGACGAGGCAGAAACCTCCATCACCATCGACAACATCGTGTTTGTCGCTTTGGCCATGGAGCAAGACATGGGGGGCAAAACGACGACCCTTTTCGGCGTAGGAAAGGTGATCCATCCGGGCCATGAATCAAGACATGTGGGAACATGGCTGTTTATCGGCTCCCCTTTTAGGTCCGGAAGAGCATGAAGACCATAAACATCCGAAGACCCAAACAGGGGGGTTGGATGTCGTATGCTGGATGTACTGGTAGTATGAAACACATGCGAAGACGAGCCCTTGTCTATGGTCACATGGGGATAGGCAGGACGTGACAGGACAAGTCAGGACGACAGGTTCAGATGCCAGCGGCGGTTCCTTTAAGGCTTTGATCAGAAGATCTGCGAACATCGCAGACGGTCTCTGAAAAGCCTTACTAGATCCCGCAAAAAAAGGGCTCCTCTCTTGCATTGGAACCAGAGAACCAGGTGAACTCGCGCGAGTTCTGCGCGCGCTGTTTGCAGGTCATCGATCCAGGCTTCTGCAAGCAGAACTCCTTCAACCCTCGAACTGGCATGGAGTCACTCGGCACTTGGAACACGAACCCAGCCGTCTCGGACGCGTGCCGTCTCACTGCATTTGGAATACTCCTCCACTGCAGTACTATAAGTATATATACAAAGGAGTCGTTCAGGACTTCTTCCAACTTAATGCATCAGTCACCCACGCTGGTTACAGTAGAACAAAAGCACCCACCAGATCCCCCCCAATACCCGCAGTTGAACGGCTCCAGCCCACCATGGCGCGCTTCCTGGCCCTTGCCGGCCTGGGCTTCGGCCTTCCCTTCTTCCTCCCCAGTGTGCACCGCCACCCCGGGGCGCCGGGCACGTGGCGCGGCGCGGCGGGCGTGCCGCGCGGCGCGGCACGTGCAGCGTCCCGTGAGCGGAGTGAAGGCAGCTGGGGCGCCTTGGCAGATGTTGAGGTGTGGAGGGGTTTCGGGTAGCTTACTTAGAGTCTTTTCTGTAAGGGTTTGGGGCATATATTGTGGTCTTGTGCTTCCATAAAGATGTAGAAACAGTTGGTGGTGCAGCATGATATAGCTGCTAGCCTGATGCAACATTCGTTCCAAGTCTGTTTGAATCGAAAAATCCATTGAATTCACACTTCAGGTGCTAGCCTTCCTCTCTTGGCGGTGGCTGTGGCGGCCAGCGTCGGGCACAGCACCCGCCGGAGCAAAGAGAAGGAAGAGAAGGCCGAAAGCGGGCAAGCAAAAAATAGACGAAACAGTGAGACTATGAATGCATTCTGAGATCAACGACAAACGACGAAACTGCTTTGCTTCGCTCTATACACCTCGGTACGCTTAACCTGTTTGAATGAGCGAGGTACGAACAGGTTCTGGCTTTAAGAGGCGAAGTCATGTGAGTTCTGCCGAGCTGTTGATGCATTGAATGACTGTCACTGTCCGAGCTGTTGTTTTGACTGCTGTCCCTGAGAGCGTAGATGTGCTGAAGATACGATGCGTTCGCTTTTGTTCCAACACCCCCAAGGCAAATCCTGGTCAAGCTTTGCTTTCTTGATCTTTATGCACAGGAGTCTGAAGATGAGTGGCGCGATGCACAGATGCTGGACTGCAGTGAAGTGAGGCGGTCCCAAAAAGCCTGTCGGCTTGCTTTAAGTGTGTAGATTGCACCAGCGAACATCAACCTCCTTCAACCGGAAACCAAAACTGGTCCAATCCTTTCAGGGGCAACTTAGGAGTGGGACCCGCTTGGACCCGCTTGTTGTCTCCCCGAACGTCTCCGACCCCGGCGACCGCCCCCTTCACCGGGCTTTCTCCGCATCGGTCGGTGGCGTTCGCGTCGCTCGGCGACGCTCCGAGGACCATCTCGGGATTGACCTCTTCGGTGGGCGCGGGAGTGGTCGAAGCTCGGAAGCGGAGCGGCCGATGGTCGACGGACGGGTCTGTGTTTTGAGAGTTGGATGTGGGAGCCAATTGGTGTAGAGGCAGAAGCCAAGATCCTTCAGCAGAAAGCTGGCGCTTTTCAACTGAGCTAGGAGATCGTTCGGAGGTTCTTTTTCAGCATGCGGCTATTGGCTCGAGAGTGTCGCACGAGCTATTTTTTAATCCATATTCTTTATTGCATTTTATTGCTAAAAGTAGAGGGACCACAGCTGGTAAAGGTTCGTGAGTGCACCAAACTTGGGGTCCTGTCAGCAAGGCGCTCTAGGAGGAACGTGGATCACTTTATAGATGTCAGGCCTAGGGCCTACTACAAACGTCAGCGCGTGCTTGTGTTTGTTTGCCATGTTGCCCGGGAAAAAATGGTTTGTTCGCCTACTATATGGTTTGTTCGCCTACTATTTACATGTACAATCTGTTTACACGATTTTACAAGCGCAAAGAAGAGGTAGAGAGAGATGATCAAACTCACAACTGCTTCGCTCGGACCACATCAAGATGATCAAGGTGGGCAGGTGAGCACATTTACTGTAGACATTTTTTCATATCATATCTCACAAAATTGAGGACTTCAGGGATGAGAAGAGTTGAGTTAGTGTTAGGAAACCATGAGGCCTCCTCAGGGAGATCCGCAGGTTTTCTCCTATCGTTCGATTGACCAATGAGTGAGTTGAGGAGTTGATTCCCTCTTGGTGTTCCCCAGAACATGTTGTTCGCGCACGCGTGGGGTGAAGCCACATTGTTGGCACCTGCTCAGAACAACATCGAGATTGCCAAGATCTTGCCACATCGTTATCCCTTCCTCTTAGTGGACAAAGTCATCCACTTGGAGAAGATGAAGCGAGCCGTTGGGGTGAAGCCACTTGGCGGCTGGCAGATGTTTGTTTTTGGCCCGAATTCCACCCCAAATCGAGATGCAGCCCTGGTCCACAAAAAATGCAGCCGATCACCAGGCAATGGAGAATCGATTCCCTCCTTAGCCTTAGATTGGGTTTTCCTACTTAGCGGCCCTATCACTGTTCGGAACGCCTGGGAGGGGTTCACAGAAGCAAGAGATCGATTATACCTAGATCTTCAGTCCGGCACTTTTACAGGGTCCGGCGCCGGACTTCCAACTCCGGCGTTTTTCTGGATTTGGTCCGGCGCTTTTTCCAAGTCACTTTATGTGGGTTCTCAAGGCTTTGCATTCTTTGTGGTCTGATTTCTTTGAAGGTAAACCCGCTACTGATGCAATGACTTTGTTTGCAAAGTGTGCTCGTTTGCCTGTTCCGCTGTTTTCTCATTCCACCGGTTTCAGCATGGTTCACACTGGATCAATCAGATTCGTTTAGGTGATCTTCTAAATGAAATCGGATGAAGCCGGTACAGTGCGATGCACCTGTTGAAAGACCCAAGTGGGTGTACCTAAGCTGAAAGAGCATAGGCAAAAATGTACTCCCATTGTTTCAGGATGTCGGGGCGCTGGGATATAGTTCTAGCTGCGCAGGTTTGCAGAGCCTGCCGGACAAGTTTTGGGCTGTGGAACATGTGTTGTTCAGAATCTCAATGTTTTGCAGAGAGTTGTGTCAAAAAATGGCACGTCGTAACTCCGGCGTAATTTCCCGTAATTCCGGCGTAATTTCCCGTAACTCCGGCGTAATTTCCCGTAACTCCGGCGTATTTTTAGGGACTGAGTCTTCTGCAGGCTTTGATTGTGAACAGTTTTTCACAGAAGAGTTTTGACAGGAACCATGAGTTCTGCTACTACTTTATTGGGGGGCCGTCCTGAGGCAAGCTTCAATGAAACATTAAGAAGCATAAGAATCATGGAGAGCAGCCCACTTTGTAAAAAAAACACTTTAGAGACACGGTTGCAGAGAAAGAGGGGTTCCTTGCCACATACTCCTTGTTTTCTCTTGGAAGTCTTTGCTTGGGCACAAGTTGCTTATATTGTGTGATGGTTTTGCTCTTAGGCCATTCGGAAGATGGGCGAGGGCAATGGGAACGGGAAGGTTCGAGTGTGCTCCAGAAAAACTACTCGCGGCGCAAAGGCAGTTTCCTTGTGTCTGATCCAACCTTTTATCATCTCTGTTTTTCAGAATCTTGGATCCGGATGTTTTTTCAGGTCTCCGGCGTTTTTTTCGGAATCCGGCGGAAAATTTTGCCGGATTGAGGTCCGGCACTTTTTTCCGCCCAAAGGAAGATCCAGGTATAAATTCCAAAGACATCCTGGTCACCCAGACGTTGAGTAGGTCTCCTCATTTTGAGACACACTGTATTCCAGTGTCTATTTGTTTGACCCTGTTTGCACCCACCGGCCACCGCAAACTCTCCCCGCTGGGAGTCTCGTAGCCATCCTTTCTGAGGAACATCACTGCCAATGAGCCGCAGTTCACAGGCGGGACGTGAAGAGCCGCAGAACTCTTCAAAGTCCGTACGTGATCCATCGTGATCCTACACCGAAATCGGTGGTTTCAGAGTAGAACAAGCCGGTCCAATCAACCCTTTGTTGGATGAAGATGCATGCAAAACAGGTTGTGCAATCTACCTTGTTACTAGTTACAAGGCGTTCTCTTTATGGGTAGGGGAAGATCTGTTTTGGATTGGCTGTCCTCTTTTGTCAACCTTTTGGGAGGTCGAACGATGACAGGCAAACGAGAGTTTCAGCAGTGCACAGCGGAAGGTTTGGGTTGTGAAGGAGGGGTCCTCAGGAAAGTTTTGGCATCACCAAAACATCTTTGAACCCCTTGTGTTTTCTCATGTGCTTATCCCCCCCAGGTTTGCCAAAACCATGCAAAACCACTTCCTTACTTGAATCTAAGAACGACGCACTTTGACATACTTTAACACAGTGATAATCAAGATTTTTAAAGCAGATTGTTAGCTTGAATGCCGATTTTTTGGGGTTTCGTATTGATATGTGCTCGTGTTTCACAACTGTTGGAGGCTGCTGCAATAGTAATTTGTCGGCAGGCAGGTCTTGTCTTTTCCGACCAGGATGTCCAGACTACTACTTTATCCAGAGATTGTTTTCGACATGTGTCCAGTTTCGATACCGACTCAACTTTTGCCGAATGGTACCTGCTTTTTGTGACCTGGGTCAATGTGAGAAGGTCCACGCATAGCTGCCTTGCCAAGTCTTTTTTTGTTTGACGGTCGCAGCACGAGGCCATTTTCCGGAGAACCCCATCATGCCCGGTGTGTTGCAGGTGGAGGCCAGATGTGTTGCAGACCAAGCAGATCGGGTGAGTCCGACAGCTCCTGTTGTCCGAAACAAGACATGCAAGAAGGGAGATCTTGAGATGGTTTCAAGACCCAGGAACATGCGACATCTTTTTTGAACCACACCCGCACCCATATAGCCAGGCCTGCAACAGGATAGATGTGAGTTGATCAGCTCGAGCATCGACCATTTAGCTGATTTGACGTTCGCTCAGTCCGCAAGTTTGGTGGGGTTTGCCTTTTTGGTTCGACACCATTCTCAACGTGAATCAACTGCAGGTGTTTTCCCACCTAAAACGCGCCGATGCGGTGACCGTTCACGTTTTTGCTTTAAACCCTACTTCCTTTTTGATGACATGATTGGCAGAATGTGTTGATTTCTTGCTCTTCGAAAAAGCTGGGTCGCAGGCGTTGGCGCAGCTGGCAGGGGTTGTTTGCATGCAGCCGGGAGACCAGGTCCTCTTTGCCGGCATCGATGGAGTCCACTGAGCGGCACAGAGGGGTGGCAGGAGCCTTGTTTCCCGGTGGGAGAGACAGATCACGTGGAAGGACTTCGAAGAAAGACACTGAAACAAACTGAGAACGCATAGAAGGAATGCTTAAGATGGAGACGTGCCTCTTTGTAGAAGCTTCCTGTTTGTATTGTATCTAGAAGGCCCCCTTGTTGCAATCCTAGTACATGGTAGAATGGTCTACAAACTTCCACTGATTCAAGGCTAACAGGCTCTAATATTATATATTTAGATATTCGTCCAGTCCAGGCACCTTGTAATTGCTTCGGTCGAGACACCCTGCACTCCATCAGATGGCATACTGTAATTATTGTTATACATCCCATGCTGTGCTTTGTGGGTTGCAGTTCTTGTTTGGATGTTTTAGATCAACGTCACAATTTCCTCCTTGTTTGAATTTGCAGTCTTTCTGAAGAAGGGATAATTATACCTTTTTCCGGCAGCCAGTTCAGCAACAAAAAATGCAATGTCAGAGTTCGAATCAGAGGCATTGCAGGCACTGCCTGGTCGCTGTTGGCATGAATCCTGGATAGGATAAGGACGGTGCCAGGATCCGCAACACCAGTAGTGGAGGGATCAACAGTTTTTGTTGGACACTGTTTTTGTGCTTGGATGAACCGTCAATCTACCAACAAGTTCGATCAATTTGCAAGCCCTTTCACTCCCTTCTTCAGCCCTTTCACTCTCAATGTGATGAGTTTCTTCACCCACAGCCACATGACTTGGTGGATCACCAGAAATCAACACCCACTAAATCGTCCCCCTCACCAATGAGGTGAAGTTTCGCAAGCCGGTGGTGCCTGGGGACACCTTGGTGATGGAGGTGGAAGTGAAGAAGTTCCGAGAAAAGGCGAGGAGTGAGGAGTGAGGAGTGAGTTGGAACAGTGGGGATGGGATGGGTACGACGATGGGTATGGGAGTTGAAGCTATTTTGTTGAGATGTTCTCTTTTTAGTTATTAACGATTCTGCGCAAAAGACGAAATACAAATTAGCATGTCAGGTGATTTAGCAAGTCGCATTTTCCGAACAGGGAGGTGAGACATGTGAGACAGTTCTTGGTGGAGCCCAAGGGTTGTAAAGGCACACTCCTTGACTACTTGAAAAGAGGCCAAAAACTTCAACAATCAAACTTCCTCTCAAACCTTATCTCGAAATCCAAAGCTCCAGTGTAGCATCACTATCATAATACATGATTATTTTAGGGTTCTTTGGGACCCTTCAGCTCCTCCACACCATCATACCGATGGTCTGTTTCCACACGGCACCAGTCTTCTTGCAGGTGGGCATTGCCAAGATCACCGGTGCGGCCTATGTGGATGGAACCAAGGTTTTGGAAGTGAAAGAATTCACCTGCGCCCCGGCAGGCTCCCGCGTCGGTCGAGCGGGAGATGTCGTGTCGTCCATGTCGTCCCGGGACGGCGGCGGAGATCCTGTCGGGGTGGCGGGGGGAAAGCGTTTTGGGAGTCACCAGAGATGGAGAGAGGTTTTGAAGTCATGGTGAGATGGAGGGCCCATTTTCCGGTGTTTCGTCGATGGTGCAAGCGAGCACCGGGTGCTCCTTCACGGGGCTTCGACGTCCGAATGAAGGGTCTAGACTCGACGATCGAAAGCCTCCCAAGTTTCTTTTGCAAGCTTCCATGCTGGGACATGCTCGCGCTGGCGCACGGTCAAACCTAATTTTGGAAAGTGGTCAAAGTGATGATTAGTTCTCCCAAAAGCATTGCTGGCGACTAGGGACAAGAGCGCACACATGGAGCAAAAAAGCCGCGTCGGACGTGGACACGTGAGAGAGCTGTACAAAGCTGTTATGATCAAAGGAACACACACACACAAACACAAACACACATATACACACACACACACCAGGACCATTCACGAAACAGACACTGCTTGGACCAATCCACTTAAACCGTTTAACCTGACTGAACCAAACGAACCTGACTGAACCAAACGAAGTTAGATCCATGGCCCGGGTAGCCAACTGTTTCAGCCAAGGTGCCCTGGTGAAAGACCCTTGGCAATGATCGGTGGCAAGACATTTCAATGCGTTGTTGGTACAAGCTACTTTTTGACAAACCAGCAGGTGGGTTGCTGAAATGTCCACCATGTGTGATGATGTGCTTTCAAGATGTTTGTTTGCTTCCCCCGCTGTCAATAGATTGATATCATTGACCAACCGTGGTGGAATGCTTGGCTTGCAGTATATGCATCTGTGGAGGCTATTTGTAGATTCCTCAGTGACCATCGAAGGTCTGGTCGTTTGTTCGCTTTTCACGACGCCCGGTGTCCTTGTCATTCTTTGAACGGTTTCGACTTAACGAGCCTCTTCATGGAGAGAGAGAGAGAGAGAGAGAGATGGAAGAGATTGGCCTGCTAAGAGCCAATTCCGAGGAAAAGAAGTGAAGCTTTCTGGATGCTGTGCTGGCATCCAGTGCCAAAGATTTGAAGGAAATGATCCGTGAAAAGCAATAGACAGGCCTGGACATGAACGTGTTTGTCCGTACATGAGCTCATATCATTGATTTGCCACTTCTGGAAACAACATGGTGATACATAAGAAGAGATGAAAGCGCCCTGCCGCTCTGTCCTTGGTTTGCTCATTGCTTCGTGTGCTGGAGCCAAATACGAGAGCTGGAGCTTATTTGACTTTTGAAGCTCCATTTGCAGCAGTGGCCGAGAACCTTTAGAGTGGTAGGTAGTGCTCCCAAGCAGCCACTATCTATATAGGAGCAGCAACACATATCACATATCCAACTAGAATGTGTTTTTGTGTAGAACCGGCACTGCTCATTTGCTGCTCACGTTGTTTCTGCTCGTTTCTTCTGTTTTTCCCAGTATATCGTTGGAGCTATTTCATGTGAAGAAAGTGGTGACGCGTTTTCCACGATGCTTGTTGTCTGGGATAGTGGATCAGTGGACCACAAACGGCCCCATAAAGCCGGTCCTGCTCGGTGCTAACGCGTTTTGTTTGGCCCTGGCCCCAGACTTTTGGCCCCATCTTTTGCTGTTCCTACCACCCAAAGAACTTTGAACACTGGATGTTTGTGAACCGGGCAAACGATCTAATTTATGGCACTGTTTTGCTCCTTGGAAGAACCCACTTTTTTCCTGGTTCAGCCCTGATACGGTCTTGTAATGTCTTGTGTGTTCGTGAGTTTGGAGCTTGGTCGCCAACAGAACCCACATGGACCTTGGAGCGCGGTGACATTGGACCTGCACCAGGTCAACTGGTGACATTGCGCAGGTGGGAAGAATTCACACCACTGTCAACCAACAGTCAACCTGCACGAAGTCACCGGCTGAAAATGGGAAGACTTCATCATCTCCTCCAAGGCATTCTCCACGTGCTTTCGGAGCTACGATCCGAAAAAGATCAAAGAACGAACACCAATTCTGCAAAACGAACCGGGCCTTTTTACTGTACCTACACTACCCGACTACCAAGCCACAAGAGCCACACATTTCCACCCATGTTCCTCAAACCTTTAAAGTGGGTTTCAAGCCTATACAAAAGATACAATGTTTCAGGTGGTGCAAACCAAGATGGACCGGTGCACACCAAGATGGTCCACATGTCAAACCATCCAACTTGACAGTGTCCACATTACCGGGTGCTTCAGTGATCGCCATCGCTGAGGTCTTTGATCGTGGTGCCCTGCTCCAAGGCCTCCGCCAACCAGCGCGCTGGGCGCGCGGGCCGCGCGCGGAAGCCCAGTGTTCGATGTTTGAAGTGAGGGAGTTCTTGTTTGTTTTCTAAGGAGGTTTGCTCATCTTTTCTCGGGAGCGGCCGCGCGGTTTTTCTGCGCAGCTTGGGACCTGGAAGGAAGATTAAAATAAAGGTGTACTGTATATGCCATTGGATTTCGAAGATGGCAGTCCTTCCGGCCACCAGGTTTTGTCAGGTGTTGTCCATTCCTCCAAGACCAGGAAGTTTTCGAGTTGGTCAATTTCTCACAGCTGATACCAACAGTATGAGGTCAATCATTCCTCCGAGGTCAGGAAGTGTCAATTTGGTCATTTCTGAAGGCTAATGCCAACACTACCAGGGGCCCCACAAACCATTAAGATCCGGTTTTTCCCGTGCATAGAACACGGGGTTGTGTATGTGAAAACTTTTTTAAAAATGGATTTGAGGGCCGTTGGTATGAGGTCAATCATTAAGAGGTAAAACAAATTGAATAAGGGTGGAGAAGAACCGGGCCATCTGAATGGTCGAATGGCCTTCCGTTGGTCCCGGACGCTTCGTGAGGTGAAGCCGGGAAAATGCTTTCGGCTCTTCACCAAGTGGTCCTATGAACATGAGCTGGACGACGACAACGCACCTTGCCACAAGCTGGGAGGGATTGTGCTGGAGCGATGTTATGACCAGTACGAGCATGAGAGGGTGGACTTTTGGCTCTTTGTTTCAAACTGTCCGGCGATCCTGGGTTCATTCTGCAAGTGATCGGGAGATTCTTCGGGTTCGTTTCACGTTCTTCTTGGTTCCACCGTCTTGACCTCGTTCCACCCGCCGAAGAGGCGCCCGTTTTCGTCGTCCCCCGCGGAAGATCGCCGAGGCGCCAGAGATCCAGCGATCGAATTTGGGACACGTGGTGCTCCTCGGAGCGAAGGGAGAGAGGTGGAGAGGGGGTTGGAGAGGGTCGGTGGGTCGGGCGGAGATCGCGTTTTTGGGTAAGAGTAGGAGCTACCTGAGGTTGTATTGTTGAGAGAAGACTGAGAATGTATTGTTGAGCATCTCAAGTCTCCAGCGTTTTTTGAACATGAGGTCCGCCTGAACCTTGCCGACCTAGAAGTTTTTTGGTCGACCCAAGACACGTGGATCTCCTTCAACCTTTTTTGGGGAGACAGGTTGCCCCACTCAACGAAAAGCAGGTCGGACGGTTCGGTGAACTGATTTGTGGATTCTCCGGCTTGGGAGTCAGTTGGTCTCCCAACAGCAGACCCCTTTGGTCTTATAGGTTGACCGTCATGTGTAAGAAGGGGCAGCAAGTCGATTCGTCCGCCATGTGGACGACCGTCCATGTCGCTGGCGCATGGACCTTCGGACCTTCGGACCTTCGGACCGCCGGAGCGAAGCGCACCTTCCCATCAGCGGATGTGCGCAGGAGGTGACTCATCACCGGCAGTGGTGTCAATGATATCCTTGAATTGACAGCACAGACTTGTCCAAATATCGTTTAGTCATCAGTTCGCGGTGACTTCCGAGGTTGATGTTGAAGTCCATCGGCATCGACGATTTGCTGCACTTCGATTTCATGGACCCTCCGCCCCCCGAGACCTTGATCAAGGCGAGTACGACTGGGGGCCCGGGGCCCGGGGCTCGGAGTGTGGAGTGCAACGGTGGGCGACTCGGCGTTGGGCGCTAGGCGATGCCTTGCATGGTTTTGGAGAGCAGAGTCGGCAGAGTGAGTGCATCATACAACACACCCACACACATCTAACATTTCTAGGTTCCCGGTATCTTGAAGACCTGAAGATCTTAGATGGATCAATCCTAGAAGCCAAACATATGTCAGATGTATTTCACGGGAGCCAATCACCGAATCTTGCGACCGGCATCGTACAAAAGGCCCTCAGCCGGAAGGTTGCTTGGTTGCTCCTTCTGACTCTTCTCTCAAATAGGCTTCACATGGTTGAGACCATGTACAAACACAGGTCTATTGTGTCAAAATCACAGGTCTTTTGTGGTCTTTAATGTATCCCCCCATGGTATAAAGCAAATCTGTGATCAATTAAGAATCTAACAGGATCTCACAGGAGTGATGGTCGTGCCTGTGCGTGGCTGTGCGACACACTTGCGCAAGATATCATTTGCGCAAAAACCATGGAAGTTCAACGATCACTCATGGTGGCCACGAGTTCTCGTTTGCTGGAGGATCCATGGCACGAGGAACTCATGGCTTCAGCACACGGCTTCGTGGTGACGGCAGTCACTCTCTTTCCAGCCACGAGAGTGGTGGGTCACATGCAGTGAAAACCACGTGTGGACGAGGTCCCACGAGGTCCCAGATACCCGGTACTGGCCCAGTGAAGGATCACATGACCACATGACATGTGTTTTTAGACAGTTTTGGTACGCTTTGGATAGATGTTAACCCAGAACATCTCAGAACCATACCCCTTTTCAAGCCCTCAACCGAAAGAAGAGACCTCTTTCAGCCCAAACCTTGCAAGAATGCCGTTTCATCCGATGAAACTCTGAACTTCCGTGGATCCGGATGTATCTGAAATCTGAGTCTCCGTCCCAAACCTTTCGGCCTCGCTCTCTCCACGGGCCTTGGAGGCCTTGGAGCAGCTCTATGCGCTCAGTGTTCACTGGCCGAGACAGAGCGCCGTTCAGGGTGCTTCGGGGTGGGCAAGGCGGGTGGCGAAGTTGGCTGTGAGAGACCCATCCCAGATACTCCATGGGATTTGACTAGTCACTAGAATTCGGGTCATTGATGTGGCAAATGTAATCAACTCTTCCATACACGGATGCTTTGGCCATATAGGATTGCAGTCTTGCTGAAGCTGCTGATTTCAGCAGTTCAGCAGTTTTCCATAGTTTTCCTGTTTTGTTCAGCGCGCCAAGCAGACTCCATAAAGTTCCTCAGGCGGTTCATGGTTGGTTTCACCCCCCAAAAGTGCATGCTGGTGACCAACATCATTTAGTCCTTGGTGTTCCGTACCTTTCCACGTGCCATAGAAAGGTCTTGTGTTTTTATTGCAATATAGATAATGAGAATCAACCCGTGGATAATTTGACGATCTGCAGAACACCAAACCAGCTACGTTCATTTGGGGAAGCACCAACCATAGATGACCCAGGATCGACTTTTGAGATCAAACCAGTTGTTCAACAATTCTGCTTGACGGCTGAGAAGAAGAACTCCACCTATTGGTATACACTCTGACTTCACACATCACATGGTTACGTGGATGGCATGGTCCTTTGGAAGACGCCCCTTTCCTTTTACAAAAACCGGGGGTGCCATCCACTGTCACCCAACGTGATGTGTTCGGTGCTCGGTTCATGTATCCCCACCGATGATCCTTGGTCAGGTGGTGCCCTCTTCAGTGTGCCTTCGACCCACCGATTCCGTATGCAGTTCGCTTTAAGCTGCCGCGGTGCGGTGGGTGGTTTTTGAGGCCTTGAACGACCAGGGCGATCTCACCAAGCTCGGTGCGGAGCACCAGGGGGTCCCGAACGAGCAGCATTAAGGGCGTTGGTCATGAAGAGATGGCATGGACGACTTCGAGGACCTCTGTTTAGAGGGTATTTTCATCATGTTGATAGGCGTCAAACATGACGAAGTCGGGTGTTTGTCTTGATGTGTTTTCATTTCAGTTGTCTTTTTTGTTGAGCGGGTCATACATGGTTCGGTCGCAGGCAGAACAGCGAACCAAATGGCCAGGGCTCGGATTTCCGGTCACCCCTCGCCGCTCCGCCCGCATCGACCTGGTCGGACTCACCTCCGCACCGAAGGGCGGAGTGCCCCAGGTCGCCGAATGGCGGAGTTCCCCATGGATCCGCAACAGTCCAAGTCTTTGATCCAGGCCGCGTGCGACGCCCAAAACCTCGTGTGAAACGGGGTCGTGTCCCGTCCGGGTACTGCGTAGTGGAACGAGATCCTCGTGCTTTGGGACGAACGGGAAAGGGAGGTGAAGACACCCTATAAAGAGAGGCCCGGTCTGACCCAGTAAAACCTAGGGCATTTTAGGTGTCTGCCGGTGTCACGTGTTTGAGGACGACGCGGAAAAGCGGTCAAAACCCCAACCCCCGAGAAAACGAACACATCGAAGTTCCTTGAGGTTCCAAAGATAGTGGAGTCTGTTGATTGGGGTCAACCAGACTTCTGAGGTTTGGACCTATCATATAGTTTGGACCTATCATATATGGTGGGAGGGATGGAGCCGCGTCACTTGGATGTTAGATCGCATTTGGAGCAAGTGTAGGACGACAGAAGTGCCTGCATTTGTCTGCTCATGCTGGTTGAATGGAATTATATTGCCAATTCAATCGGCAGCCATTCAGGCTGACAAGTACAAGTGCGTCGACGAAGTGGTCACCATTTGCAGCATGCTTGGCGCGGGGCCATGGAGTGGTTTTGAGGTAAACAAATGGGTGCATTCCGTAGATTTCCGTGCTTTCTATCAGACAGCTACTAGAGCTGTGAAGGTTTGCACCCATTTTCACGCTGGGAGCCTTTCATTCTGGACGTCAAAGGGTGTGACAATTGCCAGTCCGACACATATTGATGGTGTCCTATCAAAACAGTTTGGAAGCACACAATAATAACCTGTTGTTTGCTCCAAGTACAGATAGTGAGTACCACGCCAGTTGGAGAAAGATGTTTTGCACCAGTGGCTGAGGGAAGTCCATGACATTCCGTGCATTTCAGGATAAGAAAGAACAGTTATATAACTTAAACCTGGACTGTTGAATGGGTGTCGTGTCTGGAGATCTAAAAGTTCTGTAGTAATTGGGGTGCTGTCCTCTTTGGACGCCCAGGCAGGATGGTGTCTGATACATCTTCCCTGTCTTGACCAACAGGTCATTGCCCATCCTGTCTTCCCTGGGTTTCTGGGATGTTCACATCTGGATATATACAAATCAGTGATATCTGGATTTTCTAACAGATGTAAATGTATATATATATATATTATATATACGATATATATATATATATATATTATATGTCCAGTAGTGTCCTGTTTGCAAGGACTTTCTTCTTCGCCTCTTCACTTTCAGGCTCCATCCTCGTGGCTTCCATCCTCGTCCCGATTTCGGGTCCACGGGCCGCAACTCGTCACCCGCTCAGCCATCGCCGGACCATCTCTGTCATCGCCAGGTGTGGATGGTGCGATCTTCTACCGGCCCAAGGACAAAGGCGACCGAGACCGGTGTCGACGCCCGAGACCGAACGACCCGCGGGTTGCGGGTTGCGGACTCGTGAGAACGTGAGTTGTCAGAGGGGGGGGTTGGAGAAGAAGGGAGAACTGGGGTATAAAGACGTGAGGCGGGTCATGAACATGACTTGATTTATCCGTTTGAGCTCCTGTCGGACCTCCTCAGAGGGTATGACTGGACAATGGCACCCACCCCAGTCCCACCTGCGAAACGAAGGTGCGTGGAGCCCTAGGGTTATACGACGTAATTACATATTCATGTCCCTTTTGTCAAGCAACGTTTGTGGCATTTCCTCGAGTTCACAAAGCAATTTTGGATGGTTCTGGTAGGTTGCAGCGGCTATATACCCTTATTGAAGCTGACAAGGCAGAGGTCTGAAACTCTTGATATCAACGACTAGCCTGAGCCTAGCTGGGTGTCACGAGGGAGGAAGGGAGGACTGTCATTTTTGTTTTTTGGAGCTTCCAGTTTTCCATCATTGAGCACGACAGAAGATTTGAAATGTTTGAGTGTCAATCAAGCTGAGCGACATATCTGTGGATCAACACATAGGAGATCAATGAACAAGGGCAAGCCATTTTCATTTCCGCGACAGGTCCTAAATGCTAGGCCCGGTCCGACCCAGAAAAACGGACACACGCCAGGTTTGCACGCGGACAATGCGCGCAAGAACTTCCATAAGCCGGGTGGAGATCACATGACCATGCTGCATGTCTACAAGCAGCACCTTGGACCTGGCGTGGTATGGTTAGACGGTTTGGCTGTGAGGATCTCGACGCAGAGTTCTCTCTTTAGAGCCCAACCGCTGCAGCTCAAGTAGCTCCAAAGCACAGATGCAGGTTCGGGTGAAACATCAACTGCCTGGAATCATGTATTTTTCCTGCTGAACAACTGCCCAAGCCAAGTCGTTCCGTCCAAGACCGCCTGGCAGTTTTGGTACTTGCAGCCTAGTGTTGGAAGATGAATCGAACACCAAGTAGGTTTCCCTCATCAGCAGCAAATGCATAGCTCGGTCACTAGGTCTCTTCAAATTGATCTTTGATCCTTGAAAAAGAGACAGGCCGCCAGGTCGCCAGGTCGCAATGAAAGATGGACTATCTCGATCCCAAAGAGGTGTTTTTATCATGTTTTATTGGATGGCTGAACATGGGTTACATATCCAATGTATGAACATGTCTTCCCAGGTGGGAGGAGACAGGCTTCTCCTTGAACTGGTGCATGGAGAACTACCTCCAAAACAGGTGCCACAGCGTGCCATGATCCGGGTGATTGTTGTCTGATCTAGTTGAGTTTTACCCCAGCTTTACTCACTGGTCATGCACTGGTCATGCGCAATCAGATAGGGTGAGACCGTGACGTATTATTGGCCTTAAGTGTCCATGTACATCCCCAATCGATTTTGTTTGCTCCTACATGCAGCATTTACGTGTATTTAATATATCAGTAGCTGGCCTTGCAGATCATCATTCGTTCCTTTTCAAACATCCGATTTTCTTCAGCGCCAATGCACGCCAGGTCCTTAAAGCGTGCGCGGGATATCCGCGAGCAGCTGGTGGACATGCTGGAGAAGGCAAATGGATCGGCAGCGTAGCCAGCAGCGTGACGCGAAAGGATTCTTCCGAAATTCCTTCAGCTTTGTGTCGCAGTGGTGAATTTAGATGAAGTCCTTAGGGTTTCGGCAGTTGAATTAGGGGACAGGCACTTTCATGTCTGATCTATCAAAGAAGGGGAGAAGCGAGCACTGACTGAAGCACTGACTGAAGCGGGCAGAAATGCTCGAAGGAGTTGGACAGTTACCATCACGTCGTATGGTCACCAGGGTCCGTTGGCTCACCTCTTTCGCGTGGCTGCGACGTCTTGGGCTCGAGAGTTTGATGTTCAGATGCAGCGAGGAGTTCGGGTGTGCGTCCATCAAAGGCGATGTTTTAGTACAGACGAAGCGCTGCTGGAACTCTGCCGGAAGGCGACTGAGAGGAACATTGGAAGTGTCTCGGAGCTCCTACGCTCAAAGGGGCAGCTTTCCCAAGTCTTGAAAGTCCTTAGCCGGGAGAAGAAAGGAAATTTGGTACTTGCCCTCTTGGAGGCAATCAGGGAAGATGGGAGAATCAAGCTGAGTGCTTCCCAGTATGCTGTCGTAATATCAGCTTGTGCCAAGTCAAAATTGTGGCAACAAGCATTGAAGGTGTCCGATGCAATGCCTGAAGCCAACGTTGATCCAAATCTCTTTACTTACAGTGCGGCCATCGCTGCCTGCGAAAAGGGCGGGCAATGGGAGCAAGCCTTGAAGCTGCTTGAGGCCATGTCCAAGGCCAACATTCAGCCCAATGTCATCAGCTGCAGTGCGGCCATCAGTGCCTGTGAAAAGGGCGGGCAATGGCAGCAAGCCTTGAGA